CCTTAGCAATTTCTATCGGATATTGAGGGGGAACAAGTGACAATAAGTCTCTTAGCACTTGAATCTGGTGTATTGATCTCATCAAATTTCCATGATAAAAGGATCGTTCTACAAGATCAATTAAAAATGTCCCAATATTGCGACTGTCAAATTTAAAACCCACAGATTTGCAGTTTTGTTCGCCTCTAATCAAACACAATACGAGGTTGTTAAAAGATGATTTCTGGATATTAATGTTTATTATATATATATATATATATATATATATATATATATATATATATATATATATATTTGTCATACCTGGACGTACCTATTCTATTATTAATAGACTCTCCCACACATAAGTAGTAGTAGTAGTAGTAGCGGTCGCCAGTGGGGCTCAGTGGAGTTGAGTGAGTCAGTCGATATCGGACATTGAAGTACCAACCATCACAACTAGATTGCTGTCTCATTAACTCTTATTTCAAGTTCCTAACGTTTTGTACGTCGAACCTAATTTAGGACGACTTATTGAAATACAAGCCTCCACTGTGAAAACTTCTCTACAACAATATTGAACAATAAAAAATATTAAAAAATTAAAATCTTCAGACACAGTGCGTTGTATATTAATATACTTTCGTTTTTATTATAATTTCATTTAGATTCATCGAGTAGTTTCGGCCAACATGACCATCATCAGGAGAAAAATAATTTTCTACTTGCTGGTAGCAGTGAACTACAGAAATGAATGTCTTGATGGAGGCTATATGACAGTTCTATATAGGATAGAGGTTCGATTCCTGTCGGAGGACGCATATTTTCTATCACGATTTATCGGACATTCAGAACAGTATGGATCTATCCAGTTACTATCTCAAAGAACAACTTAAAAGAGACTGTTTGAAAATTAAAAAATTATTATTATTATTATTATTATTATTATTATTATTATTATTTTCTCCTCTTCTGTACGATATTTCGCTTTCAACAGGCGATCCTGAATTATGGGTGTTTGCCATCAAGTCGTATTACTTCAGATATCTTTCAAAGAATATTTGTGGTAGCAAGCAACGTAGACTTCTGAAGCAAGATGATACGAAACTTATTCCGATTTTCACAACGTTGTTCGGGGATATTCAATATTCATCATTATTATTATTATTATTCCATTTTTCTCTATTTTCAGGATGTGTCTGTCACGGCTCTCCACAACTTCCTCTCTTTTGTAAGGCTTAGTAAATTTTGTCTTTTATTAGGTTGGTGCAAAATAATGACGTAATAATGTCGTTTTTTGACGTATTTTTTAACGTCAAAAACGACATTATTACGTCATTATTTTTGCACCAACCTAATAATTATCCCCTGTACTCTCCGTTCTGTTACTCATTGCCACAAGCCTGTCAGGTGAGTTACTCTCTGATTGCCTTTTCATATTGACTTATTTTGACATATTCTTTTGTTATATATATATATATATATTGATGGGGTTGCTATGGGCTCCCCTTTGGGTCCCGCCTTGGCCAACATTTTTGTAGTCTTTTATGAGTCGTCCCTCCTCACTTATGACAATGCACCGTCTATGTACCGTCGGTATGTGGACGATACATTTTGTCTTTTTAATAGTGAAGTGGAAGCTGATTCCTTTCTCAGTTATGAACCAACTTCATCCACCTTTAAAATATATATATATATATATATATATATATATATATATATATATATATCATTGTTGGGTTTTTCACATTTTAGGATTTGGATTACTTCTAATGTTGACTTAACACTATATTTACTAGGAAGGTAGGGAGTAATGAGTTGGTTAATGTATTTTGTTAGCTGATATACAGGAGTTAGAATTTGCGATATGATAGGACAGAGAGGATAGTTAAGATAATGTGTTTTTATAGTGCCGTATAGTATATATATATATATATATATATGTATATATATATATGAAAGAAAAATACAGAAAAAACAAACAAAATTCTGAATATGCATTATTAATGTTAAAATAAAGTCGACGTCAGACGTTTCGGTCTATTTAAGACCATCTTCATGGACATTTTCATTTAAACATAATTAACATTATAACTTATAACAATTTAACACAAAAGACGATGGACATAAGAGCCCAACTAATTCAAACAGATAACTGAAATTTTTTAGAACTGTTCCATCGTTTTTTAAATCATTTTTGGATTTGCCTTGTAACGGGAAGGACTTCAAGCTTGTTGAAGATATAAGAACCAATTGATCACTACGTATTCCAACATCAACGGAAGGGGTTTCTTGAACTGTTTATACAAAATTTTTCAATCGACTTTTTAATATTTTAATATTTGGAAATCATCTTCGAATACGTTTTAACAACATCGGCCACGTGACGACTACGTGATCATATTTAAACGGAACGCTGATCTTGTATAAAAATTTCAGTTATCTCTTTGGATTAGTTGGGCTCTTATGTCCATCGTCTTTTGTGTTAAATTTTTATAAGTTCTAATGTTAATTATGTTTAAATGAAAATGTCCATGAAGATGGTCTTAAATAGACCGAAACGTCCGACGTCGACTTTATATTAACATTAATACTACATAATTGCATATTCAGATTTTTGTTTGTTTTTTCTGTATTTTTCTTTCATACTGTCGGATCTATATCCATATATTGCTTAGATATATATATATATGTGTGTGTGTGTGTGTGTGTGTGTATTTTCAACAGGAGACAAAAAGGAAAACCGTGAAATTTTCACGGTTTAAATGTAGTCATTATTATTTTCTCATTCACTGCTCGTGTCGAAGATCAAACCTAATCGTCATGTTCTTTGAGATGGAAATTGTTACATTTGCAGACGCCCGTATTCGATAACGTCATTTATCAATTAATTTCTTTCTTATATATTCATGATCGTTTTTATCAGCACATAAAACGCAACGATGCCGAAGTAAACAGCGGCCATTTTCTTTTTCTTTATTTTTACGAAGCAGGTGCAGGCTTTCCATTGCTGGCGCGATAAAATAGGATTATATGCTAAATTGAAGAAATGGAGAAGAACAGATATGAAATATCCAAAACACTTTTTCCTTATCATTCTTTTAATCGGTGTCACCCCATGCAAGGCTTTAAAGCCACTAAGACACAAGGGGTTACAGGATGTGTAAGAATTAGTAACAGAAACTTTAATAATGAGTGTGAAGACGAAAAAGTAATCAGGAGAGTAGATAGCGATTGACATTGAATTTAAATTTTTGCAGATTAATCTTAGCTGGAGAGCATGTAGGCGGGAGGGAGTTCCACATACAAGGCAATAAAGCTACTAAGACACAAGTGGTTACAGGGTGTGGAAGAATTAGGAACAGAAAATTTAATAATGAGCGTGAAGACGAAAGAGTAACCAGGAGGACAGTAGATAGCGATTGGCATTTCATTTAAATTTTTGCAGATTAAAGTTGACTAGAAAGCATGAAGGCGGGGGGGGGAGTTCCACAAACGTGAAGTGCGAGAAAAAGAATTATTAGCATAAAACTTACGGCTATATCTAGCCAATTCCACTATGATATGATGAGATCCCAACTCCTGCCTATATGGTACTGGACTTAAATTCATAATGTTTAGGTACATTGGCAAATATCTCATTCCAACAGTTGTCACGAAAGGGAGGCAACTTTACGGCGGTGGGAAAGTGACTGCAGTCGAAACGCCAGATTAGGACCGATAATATTGCTGATTCTTCTTTTTCCTTTGTCAGTGACCTTTAGATATATAGAGGTTTCGATCCTCTTGCACATTACTCCAACGAATTTTAAAAAGCATCATCCTCTTTCCGTACAACAAGATGTGACAAGAGTTCAGACGGCTATGGCCACAACCCAGCCTCTCAAATTTTGGAGAAAAAATAATTTCGCTCGCTGGTAGCATAAACTGGCCGTTAACATTTTGTGGGTTATTTACTAGTCATCAACTCTTGTGCGTTATTTACGGCTTATCAACACTTTGTGGCGTACTTACGGCTTATCAACCCTTTGTGGGTTATTTACGGCTTATCAAACTGTTAAGGGGTCCACCCCTTTTTATACAAGTGAACCCGCACAGTGTGTACTTGTACTGCTGCCGGTGAATACCCGGAAGTAATACAGAGTGAGAGAGTGAGAGTGTAAGGTATCCGCTTTGTAGGAGTCACAGTTGCGAGCACGTAGACTTAGAAGATAGTCATAATTCGATACTGAATTTCCGAGACTGTATATATATATTATTATTGCATTTTTGAACAGATATGAAATCTTCAAAACACTTTTTCCTTATCATTAACTTATGAATTAACCGCATTTCTGGATCTACTAACCGTATTACCAATTGTATTATTACGTCAATACATTTATTTGCTATATTTCATTCCTGCGTTTGTCATTCATTTTGAGACCGGATTTCTCCCTCGTCGTCCACAATAAATTGGCGACGAGCGATTGGAACTCACACGAGAAGAAGAAATAGAAAAGTCCTCCCCTCGTCCAAAACAAATTGACGACAAAGTGATACGAGGATTAAAAATACGTAAAATTGAGTTATAATGGAAGATTTTAAAAAAATATTTTGGTAGAACTGGTAAAATACCAAAATTATCAACAATTACAACTACAAGAAAGAATAGAAGAAAATGGCAAAAGCAATTGCTACACACGCAGAAGGAAAATCAAGAAAGACAAATAGAGCTCCAGGA